GATGCGGCAACATGAGGACTGACCCAAAGGTTGCCGAAATCGAAGGGAAGTGCTGAAAGAGGTTTACAGAGTTATGTACAACTCGTCGAACACGAGATGGACGGCATAAATTCGCCAGGTGCAAATACAAGTCACCAGAAATAGCAGCAGGAACGTGGCATCGGTTACTAGAAGAATGAACTGCTAAAGTCGACGAACAAACACATCTTCCATTCGGCAACCCTAGCGACCGTAATCTACGGAGCTCAGGGTTCGTGCACTAATAAAGCTGAAGGTAACAAACTGGTTGTAAATCAAACAGCGATTGGGAAGGCAATCCGTAAGGTTCCGTTCTGTGATGACGTTGCGAGCCAACGAGTTCGACAACCGACCGGCCGGATTTAAGGACGATATATCTGTCCGACGATATTTACGATATTTACGGACGATACAGGGCATGGTAAAATCAGCCGGACAGAACATCATCTACAAATCCTCCCGATCGACCAACCGGCTGTTTGCACTAAGTTCGCCATCGTAGTCGCAAACCATGCTTGGACGAAGGCGATTTTATCTGGCCAGTGATGGAAGCACAGCATAGAATACAACAAGATCCCAACAGCTTCAACTTGCGCGTGCTAAAACAGTGCAAAACAGGTCGCCGCTTTAAACAACCGTAGAGGTAGCGGGTTCGAATCCGTTCGAGGGACAGCTCCTGGTCAAGGAATTCCGCTCTCACAATCAATCAGACAAGAAACGGCCAGTAATTAATTAGGAAATTTGATATACTGCGAACAGGGACAACATGGTGTTCTGGTATGGTCATGCACAAATGAACTATGCGCATGGCGACGTTGTCCGATGCGAGTGCCATCACTCACCCGATCACTGATCATGTAGTGCAAAGATGTGGACGTAGCAAGCGCGATGTCGATCTGCAGTGTATCTATGACGGAAAACGTTACTCAACTTTGTGATTTCACTGATGCAGCAAACTGGCCGAGCAATCAACGAAACAGACATCGGAAAATGAGTATGACTGGGCATCGCACATGTTCTTCGTTAGCCGGTAATATTGCAAAGAAAAATAAGCAGCAACTAAAGATGATGATCACACGACAACAAACTGTCAACACTTCGTGCACTGTACAGGTCTGACGTTGTACACTCATTTCCATTATTTATGTAATCTGCATCTACGTAAGTAATGTCAGAAAGCTCAAGTAAAATTGCACTCGTTCGTCATCGCGACCAAACAAACGAGCACTGAGTGAGTCGAGTTCGCAGGTCACAGGTCGCAGTACAGTACGATAGGTCGTACAGCTCGTACAGTTCTCAAAGTAGCATATACCGTTGATCGCCGTTTCAACTATCTCATCCGTCTGCAGCAGTATCACAACGTCGTCTGTCGATCAGGTGCGTTAAAGTCACGTCACGATACATCAGTCGAACGGCGAGGTGGCGCCGAGCAGCACTCCGGCTGCAACACAACACCAAACGGTACGACAATTAACGCGCACGTGCGAACACAAAACAACAAAAAGCCAAAAACATGTTTACAAGCAAAATATTACCAGGAATATGTTGCACCTCGTTGCCGACCCGCACCGACAGAGTCTCGCCTGGATTGACGTGTACGTAGACGGTGTTCGGCGCACAGTGCGCGAAGCTGCCGGCGACACCGCCTGTGAAGATAGTAGCTGCGGGTGCTGGCGCGGGCGCGGGCGCTGGCGCCGGGCTCAGGGTCGGGTTTGACGACGTTGGGGTGAGTGAAGACGGGTCCGGAATAACGGATCCGGTGCCAGGTGCAACCGCCGCGTCATTGTCGGCCGCGCTGTTGGTAACGACGCTAAGCGCAGTCATTGAGGTAGACGCCGCGACAGCGGCGGCGGAGGCGATGGCAACGGTCGTTGCGACGGAGCTGGTCGTCGTGCTGATGCTGGCCGTCGTGATTTCGGTGGTGGCGGTGGCGGTCGCGGTGGGGGTCGTAGTCGCCTGAACGGTCGCAGCAGCCGCCGCAACAGGGGACGGAAACAAACTGACGACAGTAGCGGCGTCAACGACGTTTTCCTCAACTGATGTAGCTGCCGTGGCCGGAGGTGCAGGACCGACACCATCTCCGGCATCACCGACGAAGCCACCGGCGCCGTACTCGATGCCGCGGACGTTCGAC